TAGTAAAATAAAGCTGTCTTAGCTGAATATGACTCCTATGCTGCCAAAATTTATATTGTGTCCCCTAGTCTTACCATTCTCACCATTAAGTATGGAAAAAGATGACGCATCAACAATATCAATTCTTTAACAACTGTAAATACCTTATTCAGATACTCTTTAACTCATTATTTTGCAAGGGGAAAAAATTTCATTAATTATAACTTATCATTATATAATAACCATTCCATCCCAAGTATCATTATAATAGCCCTCCAAACCCTTTTCAATAGTTCAATGTCCTTCCAAAGGTAAAGAGCCCAAGACTGAACACAGTACTCCAAATTCAGCCTATTCAGTGACCTGTACAATGACATTAAAACCCCTTTAGACTTGTATTCAATATTTCTGTAGATACAACTTAAGATCCTATTTGCCCTGCAACTGTCAGTCATAATGTAGGACAAATTATAGAAAGTGGTTTTATCTCTCATTACACAGCAATTACACTACACATGGCATGATAAAGATAGAACCACAGAATCAGCCAGGAACTTGCACTGCGTGCCAAGTATACTACAGTTATATTCTTTAATGAGGTAAATGTTAATGTGACAAAATGTTCTACTTTGGTTAAAGTGCTTCTGATGATTAATTTTTTAGAGCAAATAGTATAAAAATATAATAAATTTTTTACATCATATTAACTTGCCTGGATGCAAAGTTTAGGCAAAGTTGGTACTGGCTACAAATAAGTACAATAACTTTGAAATTTATATTTGTCTAAAACTAAACAAATTCACACATACAATCAAGATAAACTCCACATAATAGTAAATAAAATGGAGGATGGAAGTATCTTGTTGAAAGTAGATTAAAAAAACATATTAACATTTAATAAGTTTTTCTTTTTAGTGAAAGATATTTAATCTCCTTTGTATTTACATGTAAGTCACCTAATGCATAGGAACAGTTCATTAATGTAAGAGCCTGAAAAAAATTAAGCATTTAAGCTAAGATTTCTAAGCTGTAGTTCTTCAACAACAAGTAGTTAGTTTTTTAAACACCTTTTTTATCTTCTTCCTTTTTTGAGCCTCCTAACTTCAGGTCTTTAGTCTGAATATCAGCTTCTTCAATGCCCATTGCCTTCATTTGGGCAGTTCTCTTTTCCTGGGCTGACAAGAAGGCTCGTGGGTCAGATAAGGCATCCATTAAATCTGGAAAAATAAAAACAAAGCACAAAATTGTACTTACTGAATAACTGTACCTTAGTTACAAAAATATACAGGTTCAACAAACATGTAACTATTTTAAAACAACTAGTCCTTAAATTATTTTTTCATTCCAGAAGGAATGCAATTTTAAAAGAATTAGTTTAAAAATAAACAAATCCACAAATAAAATAAAGTAAAACCTCATATACATATCTGTGTGTTACCCACCTCCCAATCCATCAGGGACATAAATCTTCAGCTCAATACAAATGAACAACATGGCTAGAGATGTGGGAAAGTTTCCTTCAGTTCGAAGGGCAATATGACGATAGCCTACATTGAAAATACTTGAAAACATTACATCAAGCGACTATTTAACAGATCTGGTGTTTCAATACATTTTAAGCATATGCAGTAATGGCTACAAAAAAGTACTTTTAAACTTATATGTTAGATTTAGTAATAAATAATGGATTACACTGGGCAACAATAACAAAACATTTCTCTGCTACTAGAAAAAAATGCATCTGGTTCTAATTAATTTGATGATACTGATTCTAAAAATCATGTTGAAAATTACTGATTACCTCTAGTTTTCAAGTTATGATAGATTTATTCAAAATATTTTTTATATCATGAAAATAACAGCTTTTTCTTTAATAACTTTATATAATCATTGAAAATTGCAGTTAAGAATGTTCAAAAACAATACATAATAGCAATACTAGTTTAAAACTAAGGAGTATAATAAGATTATATACTGAAAATACATTCATGCTATGTTCAAAACTTTCATCATAGTATTTTATTTTATTACGAAATATCTGCTTGACTTGTTGCAAATTTTGTGTATGTTTTCAGTTCCACAGTGTAAGAACCAAAAGTAACCTCTCATCATCACAGGATTCCATCATCCTTGATATTGCTGTTCCATTGTACAAATATCTTGGTGGAAGCTCTCATCACTCATGCACCTAGATCATTTGGAAGGAAGTCTAAATGGGAGTATAAGAAGTGCATCTTTAACAACATCTTAGACCCCATTTTCCTGTAGTTCTCGAGCATATCATCAATCACCACAGCATAGTTTTCATCTCTGTAATTTCCTAACAAAATTTTAACAACCTGTTTGAATGATTTTTGGGAAGCAAGTTCTTTCTTATTGAGTATTTCAAAATCATCATCCATCAGCATTTCCAAAGTATGTGGCCCACTCCTTCCATTTTTGCTTCACTGATTTTTGGAAACATATCACATAGATTTTTGAAACCATTACCATTTTTGTTGATTCCTTTTGCAAAATTCTGTATGAGTCCCAGTTTAATTTGAAATGAGGGCAGAAACATATTTTGAGGATTCACTGAAGGTTGATACTTGATATTCTGTTTCCCTGGTATGTAATTCTCTCACACTGGCCATTCCTTCTTTTTGAAATGATTTTTATTTTCTCAGATGTCCCAGAGACACAATAAAGCAACAAGGTTTGGTATACCCACTCTTCAGGCCTAGTAGGAGTGCAATAACTTTGATGGCCTGAAGTATAATCTGCATGCTTGGATAAGTTTCTTTCATCTTCACAGCATGAGTGACAGGAAATGTACAGCCTTCAGACTAACTTTAGATGAGTCGATAAAAAATATCCATTCTTCAGGATGGTGTTCATTACCTAATTCTTCCATTAGTGCATTAACATCTGTACACAAACACAAAATATTTTGCATGTTGTAGTGAAAAGCAAGACTTTGATGGAAACTTCGGTAAATTGAAACTCTTGTTCCTGGAGCTAATAAATTCCATTGCTGTAAACGAAAGTCAAGAAGTTCCCCATGCTGCTTTGATAGAGACAAGTCACGAATCAGTTCATTTAGCTTATCTTATGTGATCAGATGAGGCAGTTGATGTTGAAGTGCCACAGGAATAGAATTACTAGATGAAGATGATTCATTATTTTCATCACCGAATAACTATTTTGTTTCCAAATTCGCTGATGGATGTAGCACTGGAAGATTATCCCCATGAGGTACTGGATTCATTGTAGATGCAATATTTGGAAATTTAATGTATTTTTTGGTTTTCCCTGAACATCCAGAAACATTAATCATGCAAAGATGACTGTTAAGTCTGTTATTGTGGGGCACAATGTTTCTCTTGATAATCAATTTTACACCCAAAATAGTGGTAGTAAGCTACATTTACCTTGTGTGTGATGTTTTTTCTTCATGAAACTGTAAAATATTTTCCACAAATATATAAGAAATTGTGTGGGTGATTTTTTGCACTTTCGAACTATACTTAATTATGCTCAATCAAGGGACTTCTTGAATGCTCTAGCAAACTGATCACGTGAGGGTTTTGTGATTCCCGGGCAGAGCAGGTAAGTGTGGGAATGAAGCAAAAGTGGTGCAGTTCACTACAATCATATCGAGAACAAATAGCATATATATTAACATATATTTGGAATTTTACACCAATACAATACAATGTTAGAAGTTATCAAAAATGTATGTCTTTTACTCATTAGTCTGTCCAAGTAAACTTAATTTCACAACATAAATCTATTGTAATGAGTTGATTGCATGGTATTTCACATAGTGCTGATAAAATATTAAGATATTAAAATAACTCCAAATATAGAGATAATGGACAAATTCTGACTACATTTTTGAAATCAGCACCATCAAATTACCCCGATTCACTTGAGTTTTCTTTATTAGCAAATTTTTTCTTGTCCATTATTATTAAACTTATTGTTTAACAATAGTTAAAGTGTTTCTAATGAAATGTTGTTAATGTTTTAGCATAAGTAGTATAAAAATGATAAATCAGTAGAAGATACAATATTTTCTACATTATACTAACCTGCCTGTAAACCATCCATTGGTAAAATTCTTTGACTCAACATTTTTCCATTTTCATCAAATACAGCTATACGAATCACAGCTAAATCAGGTAACACCACCTACAAACAAATAGGTAAATCATAAAGATACACAATATAAAAGGACATTTAACATAAAATAAAAAATTGTACTATAAGTTTTACCAAAAAATAATCAATTTTTTTTATTTTATTCTTTATGTTATGACTTTAAGCAGAAGTTACACAAAGACTTGTTTTGTGATAAAATATTTCCTACATAAGTTTATCACTGTATGATTGTGAAATATTTTTCCAAACATCTTGTATTACTCTCTGTAATTCAGCTGAGGGTCTCTTGATTTTCTCATTTTCTATATAAACTTTAGAGCCTAATAATATTCATATTTGCATTCGTTTCTGGCCGAGTCATAGTTATAAGTGTTCCATCAGCTTTATTTTTTCTTGTAGATATCATTCCACTACATTTACTGCATGCTTGGGAGCATGACCTTGGAGGAAGATAATTCCTGCCTTACAGATCTAGTTTCTTAGGGAATCACCTAATGGATTAGAATATGATTGTTCCTGTCAGCAGTCAGGGTAGCATAAATTTTTTGTAATTTCCAATACCATTAGAAAATATGCATCCATACTTGTACTGGTCCCCTAGTATGCTTCACTGTAGATGTTTTCTGTTATCAAAGAAAATAGTTATATGTCCATTGAAGCAATTTCTTGATAAAGTGTATCTTACTATTCTGGAGATAATATTCAGGTTTTGCTCCAAACTGTCATATGGATTAGCCTTTACTAGTCAAAAACTTTGATTTCTACATGTTCTTCATATGGCATTTTGTTCCTGGTAGCTGTGAGTGCATATATCATACTATTGCTGGGAATAATATACTGTCTATTATGCTAGTGTAACATTGTCTGATTGGTTGGAAGACAGTGTAAACTATCAATACATGACTGCACTCTTGTGCAATTCACTTTTGTACAGGGGAGAGCAATCCCATAATACTTTCATTTTATACCTATTTTGTTCATGTTTCCATAATTATTTCCAATAGAAAATATATATTGACTTGTGTTTTTTATCAATATTAATAACTTAATAATAAAATGATAAATGAGATCTATTCTTACTGCCATCTACTTATAGCTTCTATATCTAAAATTACAATAACTGCAAAATATGCATGCCTCATTCTCTTTGAAGACAAATTATCAGAAATATGTTTATTGAAATTAGCATTCATATGATAGGTTCAATTTTGAAAACTAAGATAATCTTATAATATAACAATGACACTTTGAAAGCATGTTTAGTTACAAATATCAAAAACACAATGAGCCAATAATCTGTGCACTGTCATATGATACACTATTACTTGTCAGAAGTGAACTGGAAATTGTTAATCTTGTGACAAATAAGTAGCATAGATCTAACATACCTTTTTCACCACCTAATAATGTTTTTTACTTAACCACAAGCTTTCACAAGCTCATCATCAGGTGGGAGATTAGGCTTAACTGATTAGAAAGGAGTACTATTCTTGATGACAATTTAAGCAAAGAGCCAGGAAGAAATTAATAAGGGACATCAAAATGATGTACAATTAACTCATAAAAATGTTTCAACAACAAATGTTGGAAAATTATTTTGTATAAAAATTTAAAATGTTTAATATTTAAGTAAGATGTGCAAACAGGAGTAATGGTGATGATACAAAATGCGGGGATAAGGACAGCAAATAATTTTTTTTTTTGCTGTTTCTAGATCCCAGTCCATTTTAAAAGCCAGGAGTCTGGGGAACAGAAGACTAAATGCTCTCTGGTGCATTCTAGATCATTTTGGGACACTAAATATTCCCATTATTTACTGCTGCAGTAAACACTGGACTTTTGTCAACTTTTGTCTCTAAAACTCATGTTTCAATTATTAACTGACATACAAACTGGTCACTTCATGAACTGTTTATATAGATACTGCATACAAATATTTATAATTGCAATGATTAGACCAGTTAAGTACAAACTGGACATTTCAAGAAATATCGAAAAATTACTTGCAAATAACTTTCAATACAAATACTACATACCTTACTCTCCTATAGTGTATGTTTCTTATTTACAAAATTCTTAAAGCTTTCAAAGTTCAAATTGTGGAACATTCTAATTCCAGATGAGATTGTGTGCAAAATGTCAGCCTGCGGTGTTACTTCAGTACTTTGACTAGTCAATAAACTTATCCACTGTTTTGTGGGTTACTTGCACTGTGTCCTTCTTTTTAGACCATGTGTTTGGGGGATACCTTGGGGCTGTCACATGAAGCAGAAATAATTCTACATATCAGTGATCTTTTCTGATTGGTCAGCTAATGGGAATATGTATTGTGAATGCATTTTTGACAATTTTAGATCTGACTTTTGAGGACAGCAGATAATATTAAGCCCTGATCCTGATACAGCAAGACATGTAGTGGAAGTTTAATTTTGGTTAATTCTTTCCATATGGACTAGGTGCATTGCACCTAATTCGTAATCACCAAAATAAATATGAGATTAATCATACTATAATCTATTGATAATGTATGTGTATTTTCATGAAATTTCACAGGCTATCAGTAAACATTACAAGTCTTTTTACATAAGAAATCAAATTTTGTAATTAAGTATTTTTACTAAAAATTCCTCCGTAAATATATGGAGTCAAACTCACTCAAAATGTTTACTGTTCCGAGTGAAAAATGATTTTCATGTTCTGATTAAAAATACTTTTCTTCATCTGAAAATTGTAAAATTTTATTTCCATAATCTCTAAAACCTCCTAAATAAATATCAAACGTTTTATTTAAAGAAAAACCTTATATTTTGTCTGTTATGTGCTCTACCCTAACTTTATATGGGGTCAGTCAGTTTGACTGTAATCACCATAAACAATTAGGAAAAAAACTAAATTACCCTCTTTTCTTTCTAGGATGACAACAAATTTTAACAGGAAACCACAATTGTTTATCTTTAATAGCTTAAAGCTCATAACAGTATACATCTATTTATACTTAATTTTATTGTTCTATTGACATTTGAACCATGTCTAACTAATAATTCTGCCACACAAGTTGTAAATCACTCGACAAATGTGTATCTCATGTTACTACTTCGAATTACATAACACACAAGTTCCTCACAAACATACCTTATGAAGAACTTTTGTTATTATTTTTTATTATCTTACCTTATCTAACCTAATAAGTCTCTAATTTTTGACATTTTGGTTACTTTTATAATAACAACTAAAGAATGCACAAGAAAAACAAGAAATAGTACTTATCTGGGTGTTTTTCTTGCTGTTGAATGCCAATGAAACTTAAGCCTACTTTATTGTATTACACTAAATAATTTTCTATTCAATTATATAATGCACCTAAGAATACAGAAATAATAACACATAAAAACAGACAATTTCCTATAACTATAATAATTTTTCTGGCTCTCTAACTACACGATTAGAATTGTTGAAATTCAGCTAAGCTCGTTGATGTGTTTCTCGTGTGAATAAAGTTTGAACTGGAAGTGAAATATAATACATCATTTGACAGATTAAAACTTTAGCTTTCTAATGGTTATAAATAATACAGCATTAAACATCAGAGAAAACTATTGGCAATTTGTGAAGGAAAGGATGTGACAGGTGGGTGTGGGTCTGATTTTCTAGTTTATGGCTCCATAAACAAATAAGTTTAAAGGCTATAAAAATTTTGTTTAATAACTACATTATGATGAGTAATTTACATTAAATTCCATACTTTTGGGAGGGGTGGTAAATAATTTCGAGATGATAGACACCTCTGTACACAATTAAACTACTTCCTTGTGCATCTGCCTTAGAGATTTGCATGCCACTAGCCTTTAGACAACTCCAATTTAATCTCAAAGGATTTTCTCGTGAATTGTGCTACTACATAATGACATTATTATACAGCAAAAACCCTCAACAAATAGGGGGATGGCAAGACACCTCTTTGAACACTAACTCCCTCTATGCTTCTGCATTCATGAATCTTCATTCTTTTCCTCAGCACTGAACGTATCAGACGTTTTGTTTTGGGCAGTTTACCATGACTTGCATAACTTAAATGACTTAATTTCCTTTCTGTTTTCAAATTATGAACTCACAAGCTCATGTAACATCTTCAGTTTCTTGTATGAATGGAGAATTTACTTACACAAGTCAAGTTTCACATAATACTACTGGAGGCACGTTGAATGACGATGACATAACGGCCATTGTGCATAAAGTAGTGGGTTCCTTTATTAAGCTGGGAACTTTCATCCATTTGTCAGGCCTCCCTTCCCCTCATTTTGGAGAGGAGATTGAGAAGGAAAATGGATTGGATTGTTTATTTCCTCCTCCTAGTTATACCTTAGGAACTTACTTCCTGTAGATGATAATACTGAAACTTCCTCAAATTATCACGACCTTATAGCACAGGTATGTTCCATTCTGTCTCTTGTCACTGTGTCATATGACTCTTCTTGTTTCCTCCTTCACAATCATAACCCTAACGAATTTTACGTTTTTCCACCTTCTCTCACTGCTGGCATTCATGCTAAATCCTTTTTGGACCCATTACGTTCCAATGGCTCTCTCTTCTCCTGTAGGTTACCACCTGCCTCCATTCACCATCCTACAGTCTACCCACCATCTTTAGACAGGTGAGTACATTTCCTTTTTCTTATTACAGCATTTGCTTATAAGATTTTCTGCCACATGGCTGGTAGTACCTCCCAGGGTATACTTATTTCCCAAACTTCCATATCGAGCTAGGATAATGGAAAAACACTCATACTATCTGCTCTGGCTCCATATATGCCCACTGCTGAGATGGTGTGTTCTGCAAGACCACCTGAGGTGTCCTTGTGATATGTATATATATATATATATGATTACTAACCAATCCAGACCGTACCTATTCCATGGACTATCATGGAAAATGACAGCAGCAGGGGGTTCTCTGCCTGCTTCCCTAGCTTGTGCTGCTGTCTTTTCAAAATAGGGATATGTGGTCACCTGTTGCAGTGTCTTCAGTAAAA